TATTTCTTCAATTTTAGAAAGACTTTGACAGCCGGGATAACTTCGTTTCTGATACCACTTAGAAATATTCTTCATATTTTGTCGAGGCTTTCTATATATACCTTAGTATGGCATAAAGCTTGAACAGTGGGGGAACAAGTGGTCATATTAATCGTAGTATTAGACTTATATGAAACCATTTGATATTCAGTGGCCGAGCAGACAGATATTCCTGCGAAATACTTTTTCAAAAAAATATGTATCTCAATTCAGACGACCGCCATTGTGCTTTTTAGTATTGATATGCGTTTCCTTCCTAACTTTCGTCTCGATTGTAATGTTCAACGTAAACGTCTTCATTATACCATGTCTCTATCTTCGAGTTAAATGTGCTATGCATTTTAGTTGTTGCTGCTTTTGATATTCCTCAAGTTTTATGCTTTCTGTTTTGTATAGTTTAGGTTTGTTATTCTGTAGCGCGAGTCGACATGGTTCGGAGTCGTCGCTAAGAATTAGAAAGTTCATGCGATCGAAGCCATTTTTTTATCCTTGATCTGAGAAAGCGTTTGCAAAGTGCTGATAGTTTCGGTATTTCTAAATTATTTTGGCACCATTAAATTTATATTAAAGTTTCACTTCCAGGAAATTAATGAAGGACATGGTACGAGAGTTTACATTTTTTTCGTAATGTTTTGTTGTATGTGAAACTGCTTCTGATGTAATCTATTCTACATTTAATTGCGTTGTCTCTTATAATAAATTTGTTATAACGGATCTATACACCGATGTATCAAATAGTTATTAACTCCGTATCAGGATTTTTAGGATGGGTTCAGGTAGGTGACCCAGCGCTTTCATTTTAACCCTTCCAGCAAGTACCTGACTCCAAGTTCTATTCCCTAACTTCACAAGAGCCAGATCATTCGTAAAATCGTGTACTGCTGTCATATTTGGGCAGGAACTGCCTACCTAGTCTTCACTTTCTCGTCTCCGTGTCCTTACTGCTGATGAATTATTTTTCACCCTTCATCCCTTCTCTCACAGACGTGATATAGCATGCCTCTCACTACACTATCGATACTTCCATTGAACATGCCCAGACGAACGATATTCCTTAGTTCCACCAGTTTCAATATTCGCTTCTACGACCCACCATCCTATGCATGGTATAGAGGCACACCCTTATTCCCTCTGGTGAGGCATACCCTTATTCCCTCTGGTGAGGCACACCCTTATTCCCTCTGGTAGAATACACTGGTGAGAAGTTCCACTTAATCAGCTTCATCCAGCGAACCACTTCGACTCACATAAAGATGTTTTTCCGAAAACTACAATCCTAGCCTGTTCAAGTCTAGAGATTATCTTCTCCGGACCTATCTGCATAAACTGTACCCCTTACTCTGTAACCCTGCACCTCGAGTGACTCCCGGACTTTGTACACGGTGTACTTCACTGTAAAAACAAATCCAAATCATAGACTCTGTTTTGGAAATATTTATCCTGAGTCCTCTTTCTTGAAACTCATGGTAAGGGATGCCGATTATTTTTGTCCAAGATCATTTTTATCCTATTTATGAATACCTATGGCATCGCTCTAGACAAATTCAAAATGGGTAGTGGGGATTTTACTTTCTATTAGTAGATTCGTTCAGTTTATGGCATGGAATGCTTAAATGATCAGTAGGCCGATTCATCTATTCGCGTCAGGACTGATGTAAAAGGAGATAAAAATAAAGGCCAGTTATATTTCAATGATTGCAGCCTAAAAGAAAGACAAATGCTCGATTTCGCATTTAACGAAATCTGTTTTTTTGTGTTTTTTGGGGGTTTTTTTTAGGCCGACTGTTGTAAATTTGTAGACCATTTCTAGTTTAAGTAATTCGTTGCCTCATCCAGACCTGGATACATACAGACGATCAACATCAGCCTTGGGATAATGCAAGTGAGAAGCTTTATCGTTTTGGCTTCAATCTGTTTAATGTCAGCTAGGGTCCAGTTAAGATGTTGAAACATTATTGCACCAGGGGTACAAGTGTTTATGGCTGATATTGTTTTGTGAATTTAACTCGGTATTCAGTACGAGACGCACACGTCCGTAGTATTCTTTCCTTACTTTTTCCTTCCTTTTGGTATGCTGCATTCCATCTCATTCACAAATTCCTAGGTACCTACAGGCTTCTACTTGTTCCAGTTCCCTAATCTTTATTATAAAATCTAGATCCATTGAGTGTTTTTTTCTGTAATTCTTCCATTTTGGAGTGTTACTTTTACACATTTATCTAATCTGAAATCCATAACGATGTCATTACCGAAGCATTCTACCGATTTGAGGATATACATCAACTCATTATCGTCTTTGGCAAAGAGTATGGCATTATCTATGTAGAATAGGTGATTAAACACTTTCTTTACTATTTCGTATTCAGAATTCTTACTGTTTAGTTAATGCGAAAAAGAAATTAGGGACAGACAGGAAAGAAGGGGTGACAGGTAGTCACCTTGAAAGATTTCTCGTCGGATA